TTTTTCTCCATAAGGATAAGTTTCAGACTCACGTACGTATGTTCGCACGCACACACGCAAAGCGATTTTGTCCCTTAAACGGCGTTCACATCGTTCATGTACGATTATTCGCTTGAGTGTGCAAAACGTTTTAAGGGGATCCTGGATTGATAACCGAACTCCGAGGGGATAACCCCGTCATCTAAACGTAACTAAAATTATTGGTAATACCGATTAAAATTATCGATAATAGAGATAATTTTAATTCCGCCGTTATCAACACAATGCTTGATGTATATTAGAAAGAGCAATTTCACATTGTGTTTAATATGAATCAGATAACATATTTCTATTGTTATATTGTCTCGTATACGTTTATCCGAAGGTATCTAACAATAAGCATATAGAAAGATAACAATAAAACATAGATGTGTAACTGTCTGTATTGTATACAGGATGATCCGGAACAACTGTTCGTCCTTGAAAGATCATATTTCTGGATCAATTCTAAGACGATCTTTCCTTTACAAAAATTTTATCTGAAGCTTAGTTGTTAAATTATAAAAAGAAATAATTAGCGAATTACAGAATGAGTACAGAAGGTAGGAAGGGCGGAACTCACCGTCCGATGCGAGTGAGTCTCGATTGCGCACATTACCGATCGGACACGACAATATTTCCCAATCGGACACAGGCCCGATCGGATACAATTCCGATCGGACACATATGGTTGCAATGGGACATAGGCCCGATCGGACACAGGCCCGATCGGATACAGGCTCCATCGGACACAGTTCCGATCGGACACAGTCCCCATCGCGAAGCTAGATTCATCCTACAATTGTTGTGTGGATGGGGAAATGTATGCGTGGACACAGTGGGTTCCGCCCCCCTACGGAGGGGCTCCACTATCAAAAAATTAGACACATAGGTTTGCGTTGAACCTCGTTTCGCAGAGAAAGTTGTAAACCTATGTGGAACCTTACTTCGCATTAAAAAGTATATGCGTGGAGGCAGTATGTTCCGCCCCCCCCCCTACGGAGGGGCTCCACTATCAAAAAATTAGACACATAGGTTTGCGTTGAACCTCGCTTCGCGTGGAAAGTTGTACACCTATGTGGAATAGGTTTCGCCCTCCCTACGGGGGGGGGCTCCACTTCCGGAAGATATAACCGAACCCAAACCTATATATTTCTGATATACTGTGTCCGATCGGGGTGGTGTCCGATTGCAATCATATGTGTCCAATCGGGCCTGTGTCCGATCGGGTCTGTGTCCGATCGAATCTGTGTCCGATTGGGACTGTGTCCTATTGCAACAGTATGTGTCCGATTGCAACAGTATGTGTCCGATCGGAACTATGTTGAGTCTGTGTCCGATCGAGCCTGTGTCCGATCTGGACTGTGTCCGATCGGACATGTGTCCGATCGGGTCTGTGTCCAATCGGGAAATATTGTCGTGTCCGATCGGTAATGTGCGCAATCAGGACGATCCCTCCGATGCAGGCGCTTACATGAGGCGCTCGCTACAGCTGATCGAGCGCTGATTCCTACACGCGATGGATGCGTGTGTGTGTGTGAGAACGTGTATGTGTGTGTATTACACGTTCTCACACACACACACACACACACACACACACACACACCCATGCGAGTAGCAAACAGCGCTCGATCAGCTGTAGCGAGAGCCTCACGTAAGCGCCTGCATCGGACGGTGAGATGCGCCGCCTCTTCCTACCTTCTGTACTCATCCCGTAATTCGCTAACTATTTCTTTTAATAATTTAAAAACTAACCTTCGGACAAAATTTTCGTAAAGGAAAGATCGTCTTAGAATTGATTCAGGAATACGACCTTTTAAACACAAACAGTTGTTCCGGATCACCCTGTGTATTTGAACACAATTTCACCAACACGATGTATTGGTTATTTATTCTGAATATTGAAAATATAGAATGGGCCCCTCCATCGCCCATTCCCGTGAAAAGGCAACCAATATATTTTTTTCGTTTCTCCGATTTGTAAACACAATCTTTGCAAGATTTTTTTGATAATTTTCCGCAAATATTAAAATAGATTTTCTGTACGATGATACACTTTTATCATCGATAACAGTATATCGACATATTCGATAAACATATATATGTATAGGTATAAATACAAAAACCTCTTTTGAGGCATGTGGGAGGATGGGACCCGAGCGGAATCGAACCTGGAATCTCACGATTACCAGCCCGCGACTCTACGCTTGGCGCTACGCATCGCCCCCACGTTTGCGTAACGAATGTCTTTAAGTTTGTAGTCGCGCGATTCGGCCAAGCAGCGATCAAATCGCAAGCTCCTCTAACACTCTGAATCAATATTGTGCTTCTAACCCATCGAGACATTTGATGTATGTATTCTCCCAGTAATTGCATGAATCCGCCGAGTCCACCCTTATGAAATCCTCCTATAGATAATGTTCCATTCGCGCAATGTATTTGATTTCCTATTCAAATCTTTTCACACAACACAAGTTTTTGTTCGACAAGATTGTTGTAAGAGCATAGACTGCTATAACGTTGCATACTCCTCTTGATTATATATTTTAATTTCACATGTTTTATCTCCTTCTAATTGGAGTATCACGTCTCATCTATCTCATCATTTTTTCTATATCTTTAGCAGAGTGTATTGAGAGAAAGATATAAGTTTTGCAGACTATGCATATACATTACATCGTTTTTATTTATACATGGAGGATGGGAGAAACAATTAAATTCACAGATAAATAGTAAAATAACTTATTTACTACAAGCATCATGAAGAATGTCATTTACAGCACATGTTAATAATTCGCAATCTATAAGTGATTCGCTGTTAAACATATCACTTTCACGTATCGCTTTTGCAGCGTCGTATACATTAGCGATATTATTTCGTTGCAAAACAATTACAAATTGTTTGAATTTTTCATTTACAACATGCGTATTTTCGCATAGCCAGTAATACATATGATCTATACATTTTTCAAAATCAAATAAATATAATAGAGTTGGCGGTTTTATATATAAAGAATTATTGGATAATGCCAATTCGAATCAGATATTTTAACCACTTCGAATGTTAAATCCCGAATCCGCAATGGGGTTTCTATCGATTGTAGAAGTCGTTCAATGTCAACATATTTCTTCATCAACGATTTCCACGTTTTAAAAGGCAATATTATTTGATTGCCTCGATTGTCACCAAGAGCCAATTTCACGCAAGATAAAGCTCCAACGTTTATTCCAATGTCCAAATATTGGTATGATATCGGGGTTAAGGCGTATCGTCTTCCAAATATACGAATCGCACGAGGAGGCTCGGATGAAATGTTAGAGGGTAATAAAATATTATTTAGAAAAATATTTAAAAGGGAAAAGATTCTTTAAGTTAATTAAAAGTTACTTGTTACATTTCTTCTTCTTACACGGTGAAGTTTCATCGTCGTGAATCGTAAAGAATAATTCATGCGGCTTCCTTCAGTAGGATATATTTTGATAAATATAGCGAATAGGGGACCCAGCCCCAATGACCTTGTATGTCCTTGATAACATATGTCAAGGTCAAGGTCATTGGTGCTGGGTCCCCTATTCGCTATATTTACCTATGTTTTGAAATGAACCTTTCACACAAGTGGTCGATGAAATACTGAACGTATTAAACATATCTAAAATATGTATTAGCGTTGCAAAATTGCAATGTGGTGGGAATTATTGCTGACGTGATATTTTTTCAATTCTTTTATTCAAGCGCCGATGTACGGTTGCTTCGCGATAACATCACCTCTAGGTGGCGATTTAGCTAAATGCACAAAAATGCAATGTAATATAAATTTTTTAAGCGGCGTCGTGCAGCTGCTTTGCGATGATATCCGAAACGCGCGTATCAAAACTGCGAAATATAAGAATAATGGCCAATGTTAAGTTGTGCTAATATGCAAGTAATTTAAAAGTTTTGCGATGCACCAGGATTGAGATGACATCACCTCCAGGTGTGAAATTTAGTCAAATATGCGTAATATAATTTTTCAAACGCTGATGTGCGGCTGCTTCGCGACGACATCACCTCTTTTGAGTATCAAAATGTACAAAATCGTGAAATATAAAGATAATCCTCAAGGTTAAATTGCACTAACATACTGGGACAACTGCATGTAATTAGAAACTTTTGCGATCTACCTGAAATTTGACATCCTGTCTAGACGACAAAAATGCAATAATCGGCATTAGTCAAAATGTACGTGACAAACCGCGAAATAAAGAGTTAGTTGAAATATGATACACATGATGGAAATAGATAGAATATAAAATTATGGTAAAGAGGCACACCCTGTCAGTATTTTCGCCAGAGGTTCTGAGACAACAACCATTTTAATAATTTCAACATAAGTTTGGAAATATGGCGGAAAGCAGTGCGGAACAAAATCTGCGTGAGCAATCTGCAAGGGTGAATTCGATAAAGGATTACGTTTCGTGGGTACAACGACGAATATATCGAATCGTTGGAAGAACAAAGACGAATCAAACGTCCACGATTATCGATCGGGATTCGACAATCGCTGATTGCCGGAATTGCACGACTCGAGGGATTGAAGAACTCGTTAGCGTTCTGTACATGCGGGTGCAGGATGCAGCACAGGCAACATGAATTGATTTGGCGGAAGATCGATACGACGTTCGAAAGCCGCATATTGACTGGTGCGGTTATAAATCATAATCACATCGAACCCCGTCAATTTCTCGAGGATGCCAAAAACATTGTGCTCGAACACGTGCAAAACGTGATGAAAAACACTTTAATGTGAAAGTTAATACAGTGTTCAATGGTGAATTTGTGACGGGTGACAAACGTAAATAAAAGTATCAATGCGAGAAACTATGAACTCTTTCGCACAACCGATTTACGCGAATGATACGAGCGGCGCATTGTCGAGTCCACTCTAGCATCGCTCGAGGAATTTCAGGAACGCGATAGCGAGTGGGCATTGTCGCGAATACTCGATTTAACTGTAAATATAAATAAATATAATCCTATGCGCGCGGGATGTCACATAAAATTACCGCGGGCGATAATGATGAACAGAGCGGTGATTAACGTGCAATCTAAAGACAATGCGTGTTTTGCGTGGTCTGTAGTCGCTGCTCTACATCCAGCTAAATTGAAAGTGGATCGGGAATCTTCGTATCCACATTATACGACAGTACTGAATCTCCAGGACATTGAGTTTCCAGTAACTGTGAAACAAATTAAAAAATTTGAACTTATTAACGATATCTCTATAAATGTATATAGTATCAAGAAAGAGAACATTGTCCCGATACGTCTGAGCGAGCTAAAGAGAGATAAACACGTCAACCTGCTGTACGCGAAAGACAACAACGTTGGACATTTCGCGTGGATCAAGAATCTATCCCGGCTAGTGAGCTCGCAATTAAGCGAAAAAAATCACAAGAAATATATCTGCGATCGGTACGTATATATGTAATAAAATACATTGTTGAAATCTTTGAACAAAACTAAAAAATTATTTCTTTTACAGATGTTTGAACTACTTTGATTGGAATGAAAAATTACAATCACATACAATAGACTGTCGAGAGATAAATGACTGCGCCATCCGATTACCGAACGATAAGGACAAATGGCTGACGTTCAACAACTATAATCGGAAAGAGCGGCTTCCATTCGTTGTATACGCCGACTTGGAGTGCGTTTTGGAAAAGACGAAGGAAGAAAGAAATTTCCAACATCATAAAGTATTTAGTATTGCTTATAATGTACATTGCTTGTACGACGATTCGTTATTCGCGTATCATTCTCGTCGCAGTACCGATTGCATGTCATGGTCCACCGAAGAACTTAAAAATTTAGCGCTACGTGTAAAAACTATTTTATCAGCTAATGTCCCCATGGTAAATTTAACATCTGATGAATGTGAAAAATTTCATAACGCGACGCATTGTCATATATGCGAGAAACTATTCGTCCAAGATGATACACGCGTACGCGATCATTGCCGTCTGACCGGGCGGTAGAGATACCGCGCATTCAAATTGTAATCTAAATTATAAAGATTCTTTTTGCATTCCCATAGTTTTTTATAATTTATCCGGTTACGACGCGCATTTTATTATAAAGGAAATAGCTTCAGCGTTCGAAGGGGAAATTCAAATACTTCCAATGACAAAAGAAAAATATATATCATTTACGAAAAATGTTAAACTTGCAGAAGAGAAATCGAAAAATCATATTAAATTGCGTTTTATCGATTTGTATAAATGTCTTACAACCAGTCTTAATAAATTAGCATTATTCTTGAATAAAGATAAACTCACAATTCTAAAATATGAATTTCAAAATTAACCGAATGACAATTTCAATTTATTAACACGGAAGGGCGTCTTTCCGTACAAATATATTGACTGCGTCCACAGCTTGCAAGAAACGTGTTTATCACCGTGCGAATCATTTTACAGTTCCTTGACCGGTGACACAATATCCGAGAGCGATTACGCGCACGCCGAGAACATCTGTAAGCGGTTCTCCCTTCGAACGCTGGGCGAATATAGCGACTTTTATCTCAAAATTGATGTCTTGTTATTAGCAGATATTTTTGAAAATTTCCGCGAAAGTTGTATCGGAAGTTATGGGCTTGACCCTGCGTATTACTATACTCTTCCCGGATACACGTGGGATGCCATATTGAAGCATACGAATATTACATTCGAATTGCTTACAGATATCGACATGGTTATGTTTATCGAATGCGGAATACGCGGTGGTCTAAGTCAATGTTCCAACAGATATGCACATGCTAATAATATGCACTGCAGTACCTGCAGTCGTACGATCTATTGAAACCTTCATCGTATCTCATGTACTTTGATGTAAATAATTTGTACGGATGGGCAATGTGTAAACCTTTGCTTTATGCAGATTTTCGATGGGTCGACGACGTATTCGATTTTGATACATCATCGACCGTGCTCGATTTGCCTACAGGCTACATCCTCGAAGTCGATCTCGAGTATCCGCAACATATTCACGATGCGCACACTGACCTATTGTTTTGCCCGACATGCGACAAACCATCTGGTAAGGGGCAGGATAAGCTGGTCGCAACCTTATATGATAAGAAGCGTTACGTAATACATTACCCGTCCCAGCAACCGGGTAACCCGGCGTAACTACGGGTAGCCCGTAGCCTGGTGTAACGCGGTATTGGTTTCGGATCAGGAGTTGTACTAGGTAGGACTCGGGATCGGGAACTGGTAATGTACGTTCGCCGGAGCGCCTTATATACCGGCGGCCGGCCTCCCACTTGCGCGATTTAACGTGTGGTGGGGTGGTCCCTACGGTGGGGCCGCGACACGGGTGTGGGAGCTTAGGGACGCCATAAGCGCCGAGCCTAGAAAAGCGCGTGGAACGGCCCGCTAGGCCGTTAGTAACGGTATCGTTACAACCGCAACCTGCAGCAATGCGCGCCACGGACTTTGTGTTACAAAAATACATTGAATATTACAATTTTCACAATCTCCATAGCTTCGCAGTTATATCGAACTCAATACACAATACACAATTCCGAACACTTGCAAAAAATGATTTCGAAAAAAATTTATATAAATTAATGAATAATGCGGTATTTGATAAAACAATGAAAAATGTGCGCAATCACGTTAATGTTAAGCTCGTGACACATTGGGATGGAAGATATGGCGCAGAGGCGATGATCGCAAAACCAAATTTTTACAGTAGAAGCGTGTTTTCGAAGAATCTGATCGCTGTTGATTTACGCAATCTCGAAATTAAATTTAATAAACCAATCTACGTGAGTATGTGTATACTCGACATATCCAAGACATGCTTGTACGAGTTTCATCACGATTATATGGTACCTATGTATCGAGAGAAATGTAAAGTCATGTATACCGACACCAATAGTCTCATATATCACATCGAGTGTGAAGATGTGTATGACAATATAAAGCGCAACGTCGACAGATTCGACACGAGCGATTATGCAGTGGATAATGTGTATAGTATACCACTTGTAAATAAAAAGATACCGGGTTTAATGAAGGATGAAAATAATGGGGCGATCATGACCGAATTCGTCGGGCTTAGGGCAAAAGTTCGCGTTGCGAGTAGATGGTAAGAAGGATACAAAAAAAGTAAAAGGCGTCAAAAGTAACGTCGTCGCGATAACGATAACATTTGACGATTACACGCGGTTTGAAAGAAGAGATTGAAATGACGCGTCAGCAATCA